GTATCCGTACTATATGTTTGATGTGCATCTGATTTTACTCCTCTATGCTTGCAATGAACTGCAAATGTGCCTCAACAAAACAGAGGTTGACAACAACAAAAAAACGTGTAGACGTGAGACTAGCCAAGATCGGAATACAAAAAATATGAGAATACGATAGAACTTGCCAGGTCAGTATTACAAAGTCAATAAAAAGTCAATAAACAAGCCAAAATCAAATTACCAGTAAATTTGAGAATATATAATACACTAAATGTCCTTTTAATACACCAAGTGGAAACCATAACAGGGCAAAGACAATGGAGCTGAAAATTACATGATTTTGCTATTACATGACGAAAGTCACACAGAGGCAAGTATTGCATATCCCTTTCTTTACTGTCCACCAATAGCAGCAAAGAATACAAACATAATGAAAAAAATTATGTATACATAGTAACATAGGCCACTCCCAGCCAAGTCCCAGTGTGATAGCAGGCACCACCCTAATATCTTCCTCTTTCTTGGAGATGCGACACACATAACAGAAAAAAATGAGTAAACAGGAAACAAGCAGACCAATCCATCAGCAAATGAAAAAACGCAGAAGTCCATAACTGTTTGTAGCAGATGGCACTGGGCTGTCCTGGGAATTGTATTGGTTTTTACTGTATTCGTCTATTTGACAAGTTGTATGTGTAATAATGTACTGTATTCGTCTGATTGTTCGGTAGAATCATTCTAACAAATAAGGGAATGAAACTACCGAACAGTCAGACCTCCTCGGTGTGAAGTGTGCCTTCAATTACCCGTTGCAACATTGTTCCGAACGGGTAATTGACAAGCTGTACAGTAGCCCTTTGTTCTCGGGGGTGGCCGCCATTCAGGAAACGAACACGTGGCGGCGGCCATTTTAAAACTCCCGAACAGCGGTGTTTTGCCGTCGAGTGTCTGGAACTCAAAACGGACACTCGACTAGGCGAACACCGCTGAGACCTCCACCAGCCCGGTCCGTTCGGTTACAAACTACCGAACGGACCCTCATTCGGTAGACAGAAACAACCGAACAAGGGGATTCAGGCGAACCCTCCCCAGTCTCTGTAACTAGAGGCTTTCGTGTGATTTATTCCCTTGTTCCAGGACCGACCGCAGGGCCCCATCGCATGGAGCCCAATTCGGCTATTCCTTCCAGCGCGGTCGGTCATTTTATTCCCTCCATGAATTTCCCGAACCCCTGGTCTCATCTGGGTGATTTTTGGATATGTTGTTCACCCAGATCAGGGCTACCAGTGGTTGTATAATTTAAAGTGGTACCCCTAGGTTTAGGGGTACATCCAGAAACAGGGGGAATTGGTGTCCTGGATAAGGGGATTATGATGCAGGCTGAGGGGAGGGGATGTGTGGGAGGTTACCGGAACAGGATTGGCTACTGTAATAATGAATGGAAATCCCTCCCTTGCATGGTAACATGCTTTATAAGGCCGCTGTCTGAATAAATCTTTAGTTCTGCTCCTGATACTGTGTGTCGTCCAGTTATTGGGAGTGCTGTTGGGATACTACTGTATTGTTTTACCTGCTGGATACCTTGCCTATGGATTTATAATTACTTGTTCCTGAGCCTCACTGGGATCTACAAGTGGAGGTAGGCTATGAAATACTAGCTCTCCGCTACATTGGTGGTAGCAGTGGGATCCAGACTCACAGAGGAACAAGCACAAATGAAGTATGGATGGAGATTGATTTTTCTACACTAAAACGCTCCACAGTAAAGGACCTCCTGGAGGCAAGGGGTATTCAAGCCAGCAACAAAAAGAAAGCGGTACTTATTACCAAACTCTAGAAACTAATGAAATTCAGCCAAAAAGGTACACGAAATTAAGGGGGGTAACCCCTAGTGTAACGAGGAATTTGGAGAGTAGTG